CACGTGGTGTTACTTTGGGACACGTGTTAATCTTTTGTCCCCTGAATAGACATTTTTCTTTATTGTTTTAAAATTTAAAATTATACATTTCCCATATTTTCTTCATGTTCCAAACAAAAAAACAACTGGTGAGAAGAAATTCCCTCCAATGGTTGACCCGACGTTTTTCTCTCGGCTGTGAAATGTGAAAGACCAGCAGGCGACCATTGGATTCGTAGAAAGCTCCACGTGGCAGAATCCAGAGCCTAGCTGGCAAAAGCGAGAGGGCGTAGAACCGGTCTTCAGGGGTTTCAGTGTCCGAAACATGGTTTTACCGATAGGTCCGGTAACCGTGGCCCCCTGTATAAAACTGAGGTTTAAGACATGGGAAACAAGGTGGTTTTCACAGGGTTTTTCTTCCTTTTCTTTTTCTTCTTCATTTTGCCACAAGAAAGACAACAGCCATGGATGCCTATATGTGAGTTTTTCCAGTGATTCAAGGGCATGGAAATTCTGGGTTTTTGACATTTTGATTCTTCTTTACATTATTTCTTATTCTTTTTTTCTTTTTGGGTCTTGAAAGTTTCCCAGTGGTCTCCACCATTCTCCAATTCTTCATTCCATTGTTGGATTGTGTAAAGTTTGGATCTTTTTGCAAAGAAGAATATACCCTGAGGTCGATTTCCAGTTAGATTTGACGCAGAGTTGGACAGTTTAAAGGTTAATTACGTCATCCTTCATCCCATTTATGTTTTGTTGCAAATTTCTAACTATATTCAGGGATCAGAGTTCAACAATAATCTGGTAAGATACAAAGAAATGTATGGATTCTGGGAAAGTAGGGATCAAGTTTGATGCTTTATGGGTTTTGGTCATTTTTTTTTTGAAACCGTCGTTTATAGCATTGTCCTTTTCTCATGGAAAAATTTTATACTACGTATATATTTGCATTTTCACGAAGGATTTCAAGCCCAGGTTTATGTTGATCCGTTTCTATATATATAATTATATATTTTGTCAGAGTTTTGCAAACTCGGATATTCTTAATTTTCTAAAGGTTGTGTTCTTCACACAGTCGAGATCAGAAAGTGCAACCTGTAATTTATTCATATGAGTATTTTTCTGGTTTGGTATTCTTTGAATTTATTAATCATATATTCATATAGTGTATTCTTGGAGATAGCAGAAACTGGAATATCTCTTTCAGGGGTTATAGGCTTATAGCAGAGTTGTTTCTGTGTGTGCGCTCTGAAGAATCATATACTCTACATATACATGAATAGTAACCATTCAAAGGATTTATAGTTTTAAGGATTTAAAAGTTTAGGCTTTATGAATATTGTCTTCTGCACAATATTTAACATAACATGTATAAGATTTTACAAATTCTTGTGGTTTTCTGTTTATTCCCATCTACATTCTTACAAAAAAAGCAATTCACATTTAGGCACAATACTAAAATTGTAGTTGGTTCTATAAGGCTTCAACATACCATGCAGAGAGATTCTATGCAATAGGTTTAACGTTATTGTTTCCACATTCCATTGCAGGCTGCATGGTTTTCATTTCAACTTCTTCTTGACATTCTTCCTTGACAAAAAAATGGTGTTGCATAAGGCATTAGATAACAACAATGGATTTATTGGCTATGAAGCTCAAATACCGCGATCCACCAGATCAACCAGAGTTAGTATACTACTTCCTTTTATGAACTAGAATTTATCAACTCAAATTTTATCATATTTTTTCTAATTCAGATTTTTGGTCCTCATAAGGGATTTTCATTAATGTTTCTTAAATCATCATTATCATCATTACCCAAGTGTCGTTTGGTGGGGGTAAGGGGGTCGGATCTGCACAATCGTAAAAATACGGTTTCCGGTTGAGCCATAGTAAAAATCGCTTCGAAAATTGCATGGACTTTCGTAACAAAGAACTTTCATAACGAAGAAGCACAGACAATTTTGTGAGCTATTTTGCTTTATTCATAATATTTTCAAGCAAAAAAATATCGAGTCTTTGACTCCCTTGCAAATGATGGAAATATTATGTTTCTCAAAATAAGTTTTAATAGTAAAAATATGACTACATGGTCACTGAAGTCACAATGAAAACAGTCCTAGTATTGTTGTGCAAAATTGGACATATGGTCACAAGACTCACAATGCATTTATAAGTACTGTCATCTTAACGATATACAGAGTACTCTTCTTCTATACAGATCAAAATTCCATCTTTTCAATACTTGATGTTTTCAATACTTGGTACTTACTTCTAAATCTTTTTTTACTTTACTATTTAAAAAGATTTCCCTTTCTTTATTTGATGTTCTTATTTTGCTGTAATCCTACATTTTTTAGAAGAGGGGCATTATCTGGAGGAAACCTGAGGTTAATGAACAAAAATGTGCATTTGACTTATTAGCCACAATTGCTGGAAACATACTGCTGGAGGAAGGGCATAACTCTCCCTCTTCTGCAAACACATCTTCTTCTACTAAAGACAGTCTTATTAAGAAGGAAAAACAGAATGAAGAAGAAACCTTAGAACACCAACCTTGCGATCATGGCGGCTATGAAAGGCGGTTCTTTCTCTCTGAGCTTGTCTCGCAGGAACATCCTCTCCGAGATAACGCAGAACATGACACGTGGCCATCTGCATTGACGACAACCTCGTCCGATTGTTCGGAGAAGCTTGAACTTGGAAGCCTAAACAGGAAGGAAGGTCCGGATGTTTCTGGAACCAATGTATCTTCTAGCTGTCAATTAGGGTTTGAATTTGGAAATGGAAGGAATGATCTGGATTTGAAGCGCCAAAGGTCTCTGAAAGATTACCCGTTCAAGAAAAGGAAGCTTTATGATGATAAGAACTCGGTTTCCATTTCTGAAGCTGGGCGCTCTAATGAAGATGCTTCCAGTTATACTCTAACAGCGGGAACACCAAACCCTGCAGCAGGTGAAAGTGGATCCTTTAGAAGTAGCGATTCCCCTGGTAAGAAATTATTTGATGGATTATACCCCAATAACTTGTTATAATCTTTTTTTTTTTACTCTTAAATTATTCGCTCCCTTCCATAATAAACTCATGTTTTGACTTCTCATCCAAATGGAGAAAGTGAGATTTGTGTGGTCTAAAATTATACAGAGGAGAGAAATTAGGGACACAAATGTTGTCCCACAAATTCTTTGTCAAATATGAATAAAGAGAAGTTTATATTGGAACGAATGAACAAAGAAAGAATTGAAGTTTATTTTGAGACAAAGAGAGTAATAATAATCGCACCACAACGGTTTGACTACACTTGAGAAATATCAAGGTTCCTAATTAAATAGTTCCACCACACTCAAGTAATAATGATTACAATATCAAACAAAGTCAAAATAGTGTACTTTATAGTACAGAGTATTAACTATCTTTAGTAACAAGCATTGCAGGAAGCCAAAGAAGAAAAACTCATATTTCATGTGCATGTTATACAAACTAGGAAGCTGTGTAAGGGATGGAGGTGATATTACTTGCTCCTTTAAGAAACTTTAAATAGATCAAACTAGAGCATATTAGTCCAACCAATCCTCATTTACATTTAAACAGATCAAACCAGTAGATTTGAACAGTTTAGGCCAAACTACACTACATCAAACTTAGACAGCTGAACTAGACCAGAGCAGTTTTGTCCAAATGAAGAGGTTTAAAATGCCTATTTCTTACCTTGAATAACCATATATTATATTTTTTGTCATACATAAAATAAGGTAGAATGGTCATTTTTTAAGGATCCTCAATATGGGTATAGTTTTGTAAATCTTTAATTATTTATGGACATGGGAGTTCAACCTTACTATAGCACATAACAACAATAATCACAACTCATCTTCATCTTAAAAAGTCAACTTCTGCAACTTGAAAGTAGATAAGTAAGCTAAACAGACTCTAATTGAGGTAGAGATACCCAACATGCTCTAAACAGGGCAGGACACTGCCTTAAATTTAAACAAACAACTTATCCAGACCCGAGTTTCATACCATGTACAATTTCGCCTCAGAGTTCTTATATAAGATTTACAAGGAGTCATAAGATCTTATATGTAAGTTCAATAATTTATAACTTGTGACTGCGGGCAATTACCACATCTAACTGATAAGTATTTCTTCTTTGCTCAGTGAAACTCAGAATAAAATCGTTCAGAATCCCGGAGCTGTTTATTGAAATTCCAGAAACTGCAACTGTTGGTTCTCTAAAGGCATGTTAAACCAAAGTTTTTACTACTTCCCATTTACTGTATGAAAAAACAATATCAGACACGCATGCTAGATTACTGATGCATCTTTTCTGCTTCTCTTAATGCGTTTTTTTCAGAGGACAGTGATGGAGGCAGTGACAACAATACTCGGTGGTGGACTACGCGTTGGTGTACTTTTGCAGGGTAAGAAGGTTAGAGATGATAGCAAAACTTTATTACAGTCCGGAATCTGTCATGATAACAACATGCTCAATGCCGTTGGTTTCACACTTGAGCCCAATTCTTCTCAAGATTCCCCACATCTAGTGTCTCCAAAAGACCATCCTTTTGTACTTTCTCGCGACTCGCCTGAACCACTAGCAAGGTAAACTTATTTATTGTGTTCTTCATATATCGACGAAAAAAAAAAACACACCGAAGTTCCAACTTAAAAAAAAGCCAGTAACATATTGATGATATTGAAGATTGTCCTACATCGGCTAACAATGGAATACACAACTAACAAATGGGACCCCGAATATTAGTACGGTTTAAAGACAAGTCTGATGGTTGGTTGTTTGTTTGTTTTGGCACAATTGTTTAGGTAGTCCATTTGATTCGGTTTGTCCCATTTATTGTTTTATATTTGACCATGATAAAATAGTTAAAGTTAGACAAAAGTTTTGCGAAATGAAACGAAATACGCATGATACACTTTCACGAAATTGTAAAATACGCATGATACGCATGATACACTTTCAATAAAATACACATGATTCGAGATCAGTTCAAATTGGAATTATTTACACTAAATACGCATGATACACTTTCACGAGCATGGCAAAGGTATAATTTACTTCAATCTTCACTGCAGTGTGGGGCGTAGTGGAGTCGAAGCGAAACGAAATGATGCTCGTCGAGGGATGCGCATGATCAATTTCATTGGAAGTGCTCATGATTCAGCTACATCAATTAATAAGCGTGGCACATCAGATGATTCAAGAGCATTGGTTGCTGTTCCAAACCGAAACATGGATGCCCTGGCTGTGGCGCCTCCACTGAGAAGACCAAAGAGATCGGAGACAGCCCAACGTCGAATCCGTCGGCCTTTCTCCGTTTCTGAGGTGGAAGCACTTGTTCAAGCTGTCGAAAAACTCGGAACTGGAAGGTGGCGTGATGTTAAGTTGCGCGCCTTCGACAATGCAAAGCATAGAACTTATGTTGATTTGAAGGTTGCTCTAAATCCCATGTTTTCCATGCATCTTCATCGAGCTCTTATTTTTTGTTTTTTTAGAACGCGGGAATCTGTTATTGCAATTTTACTCTCTGCATTAGGTAGACACTGCCTTAAGATCCTAGCTCCAACTTATGATGAATTATGCCCGATTTTTCCAAGAAGATCATTAGACTGCCTTAAGATCCTAGCTCCAACTTATGATGATATGGTATCAAAGTTAATAGTTCCAGTAATTTGGTCCACATAAGCCTAACCAGTAAGCACACATACTTCAAAATTAGCCATGTTCCAATGATCTTCAATAACAAACACAAGAATTTCAAGATTGACGTTCTAAGGAGCCACCTTCTTAAGTTATTCCACGCTCGAATGTAAGGCCTTAGACTATTTCTTTAGTTCCATCTTTTAGGATGGAATTCGTGAACTTTGGGTGTTAATATATCAGTCATATAATTGTATCAATCAAAAGTAGGACCTTATCATTTAGGCTTAAGATTTGGACGCTGCAGCCCTTATGTGTTGTTTTTGGGCTTCTTGAATTGGAATGAATTGTGAATTTAATCAATTTATATCTAATAAAATCCGTTAATGATAAACTAAAGATATGCAGGACAAGTGGAAAACACTGGTACATACTGCAAGAATATCCCCTCAGCAAAGACGAGGTGAACCGGTGCCCCAAGAGCTACTGGACCGGGTCTTGACTGCGCATGCCTACTGGTCTCAACACCATTCTCCAACTTGCTTACTGCTCTAAGATTAACCCCCCCTCCCCCCTCCCTGCACTTAACCTTTCCTCTAATAATAAAATTTGACCATGAAGTAGGAGATAGATTCTTCTTTAGTTTTGGCTCTTGTTTGTTTCACTTTCCTTCACATTAAGTTAGTAAATGCAGTATGTATAGAATCACTTTTCCCCCTTGCTGGGAATGGTTCACACTTGTAAATGTTTGATGATCAAACAAGAGCCATGAAGGCATGTAGCATGCATCTTCAGATCTTCAAGAATCAAGATGCTTTTCATTCTTTGATATGGGGTGCGAATTGTAATTCACTCCATTCCCATGGGTTGCTTCAGTAAATTCTAAATGCTCCATTCGTGTCATTTGGCTAAAGCTAAATAAAGAACATAAAATTGTGTGAGGCATTTCTTCGATCTATTAGTATTAAAGGTCATTAACATATATTTGTCAAAGATAAAATCTCACCCCATGGGCCATGGTCCCATGCGCAAATTGTTTACAATACAAACCATATAGTTTCCTCGATTGCACGCCTGAACCTATTGATTTGTGTAGTAGAGAGAAATTGCAGATATTTTAACAAAGTGGGCCTCCACTCCGGCGGAAATTATGTCCTAGATGATGTACTCATTTCCAAACGCAAATCATAGTTATCTAAATTAGTTTACTATATCGGTTCCAAATGCAAATCATAGTATTTACCGCAAATTATACCGTGGGATCCAGTGGCGTATCCAGAAAATTTGGCGAGTGGGGGCAAATTTGACTACAATTTAGTCTCATATTTCACAAATAACAAATCACATTATTAATATTGTTTGATTAAATTTAGTTTATAATATCTATGTACAAGTATGAATAAAAAGAAGATTAATTTATGTTACGGGTGTCTAAAGATGTAGGGGGGTGTATTGTATTAGGATTTAGTGGCAAAATTTTAAAAGTCCATGAATTTTAAAAGTTTAGGTGTATTCAATGTGGACTTTTAAAAGTCCACAAAAGTCTAGGTGTATTCAATGCGGACTTTTAAAAGTCTATAAAAGTCTAGGCGTATTCAAATTTCCGTTCATTCTTATTGACTTCTAAAATCATGGATTTTCGTGGACTTTTAACTCATTTTTAGTGCAAAAATTCTCTGCAATTGTCTCTTCTCCTCACCAAAGATTTCCGTGGACTTTTCTTATATCGGTTCTTCATCCCGTCCCATCCCATTTTCTGTTCCGAGTCGGGCCCGGCCGGGCTTGGAATATTTTGGGTAAGGCCCAGAACCAGCCCGGGAGTCTACTGGTATCGGGCCGGGCCAGTTCTGGGTTGGGCCGGGCCAGTTCCGGGTTGGGCCGGGCTGGTTCATTTTTTTTCCCGGTTTTCTTATATATTCCAACCCTCACCCCCCCACACCCCTCTAAAACACCCAGCCTACGTACCATAGGCCCAACCCCCCCCCCCCCCAAAAAAAAAAAAAAAACAAAACAAATAAGGCCCGGGCCCGAACCGGCCGGGCTGGTCCTCAAATATGCAGTTCCGGAACCGCCCCAATTAATCCCCCCGGGTCGGGCCTAGGCCCGGTACCGGTACCGATCCAACGGGCTGGGTCGGACCCGTACAGTGGTGGGCCGGGCCGGGTCCCGGGCCAGTCAGACCGGCCTCGAGCCAAGCCTACTCCCCCCCCCTCCCCCAACTCTACTCTTCTTTAGCCAAGCCACACCTTCCTCTTATTTATTTATTTATTTATTTATTTACTTACTTACTTACTTACTTACTTATTTATTTCTTATTGTACTCCGTATTATATAGAGGAAATCACTCACAGTAGGACTAAAACATAGCATTATTCTTAAAGTATGATTAAATGTTTGATTTTTCTTAAATGGGAATAAATATTACATATTCACCCCTAATTTAAATAATTAATTAATATAATTAATTGTCCCTAGTTCCCTTTCACAACCAAAGCCATTTTGTTGGTGACGCGTCAGTCCGATGACGACAGCGGGGAACTCCAGTGATGGATGCGGACAGGTCACAGGCATATCGGTAGCGACAATCTAGGTGAAAATTTTGACGACCAGCAGTGGCGGTCCGCAAAAAGTCTATGGACTTTTTGAAAGTCAATAAACTTATCCATGGATTTAAAAGTCCATAGAATTCATTCATAAAAAAGTCTATGGATTTAAAAGTCCATTGACTTTTTTAAAAGTCCATGGATTAAAAAAAGTCCACAACAATCCATATTGAATACACCCCCCGTAATTGCAGATAAAATGCAATAAAATTACCTAAATACTACGTATGTATGTAAGTTAACTTATTTAGCCTAAACACCTAATTACTAAGATGTGTACCTAAATTACCTAATTACCTAAACATACCGGAGTATAAGTTAAACATAACAAAATTTAGTGAATTTTTTAGCCTTTTATTCTTTTAATATTAAAGAAAACACTTTTAGTCCTATTTTATAATTTTTTTTCTACATTTAACTCTTATTTTGAGCAATTTCTTGTAAAAATTTGGACATATATATAGGGGTTGGGTTGGGGTTGATGGGGGCAGCTGCCCCCATAGTGGATACGCCACTGGTGGGATCAGTATACCATGAGCATGGTATACCCATCCCAATACCGTACCGTTTTTCCATAACAAACAAATCATACGCTGCATGCTATTTACGCAATTGTTAGTTGGTCACGTGATATCTCCACTCACTTGCACACTAGATCAGAACATCCTTCCCCACCCAGGCACCCCATGTCTCTTTTTTTTCTTTTTTCTTTTTACTTTTAATGTTTCCAAATGTTTTTATTTTAATTTAAGAACACTGGAATGTAATTAAATTTTGTGATCGAGTTTTCAACGTTTCATCCTTTCAAAATAAAATAATTACTTCTTCATTCTCTCTTAGTCCTTATTGATACACGTTTTTCCTTTTTTATTATTCAACTAAAATTTCAACCAAAAATTAATTATTTTTTCTTCAAAATAAATATTTTTTATATTTATAAACTTTTTTATAATATATTTTTCATATTCATACACTTTTTATACTATATTTCTTATCTCTTTTATATATTTTTAGTGTTTCTAAGACATTAAGTTTGTTTATTTCGATTTAAATTTGATAAAACATGAGATTCATGTATGTAAGTTTTGTTTATAAACAATTTCTGGAGTTACATTTGATAGTATATGGAGGTATATCTTTTTATGGGCAAGTTACATTTTCTTGTACTCGAGTTACATTTGGACTGACCTTAACAAGTTACATTTTGCATACATCTAAGTTAGATTTTTCATCAAAGCGAATTACATTTTACCATAACACGAGTTACATCACAAAATCAATTCCATCTATTCAAACAAAAAAATCATTTTTTTGGCAAAAAAAATTGATTTTTTGACTAAAAATGTTTCTTTTTTTTGTAAAAACATTTATTTTTCTTTGAAAACATGTTTATGACCTAAAAATAAAACATATTAACCACTTACGTAAATTAATTTGAGCAATTAGACTTTTTGTTTTCATTGTTTACATTTGATAGTGTATGGAGTTACATCTTCTAATGTGCGAGTTACATTTTGTTTATGCGTGGGTTACATCTTCTTATACGTGAGTTACATTTAGACTTGCCTATATAACTTACATTTTGCATACATTTAAGTTAGACTTTCAATCAACAAGAGTTACGTTTTCTATAACATAAGTTATACGACCTTGCTATTGAACAAAAGATTCATTTTTTGCAAAAAAAAAAAAAATATTATTTTTGGCCAAAAAATTGTTACTTTGACAAAAAAGTGATTTTTAAAAAAACATTTTATGGACTTTGATATTTAATACAGAACGTGTTCACTTTTTAAGTAAACCCCTGCTATTGAAACAAATAAATCACTTTTTTCCAAAAAAAAAAAAACTGATATTTTTTTAGAAAAAAATGATTTTTCGGCAAAAAAATGATTTTAAGAAAAAAAAAGCATTATTTATGAGCTTCCGTATTCACTATTTAAGAATAAAATCAAAACATATTCACTATTTACGTAAAGTAATTGAGCGATTAGATTCCTTGTTTTCATTGAAATCAAGGTTTTATTTTTTATAATCCGTATTAGGCAAATTACATTTCGATTTGATTGCAGTTACATTTTGTATTAGCGTGAGTTACATTTTTTGCACGCGAGTTACATCACACTGCTGCTGGACAATGGAAAAAAATGTTAGTGTTCACCCGCGTGAAGAGTAACACGCGTTTTGCATGTGAGAGCAGCATGCTCACCGTGGGCTACTCCCACGATATACGAACTCAGTATTTACTTTTATGAGAATGAAAACTAAGTGATGCTTTTGTGGAAGTATGGACAAACGGAAGTTTAACACCAAATTTTAATTGGTGTATTTGATTCATGTTTTTTATTCGGAGGAAGAAAAATTACATTTAGCGAATGTTGAACACCCAATTTCTCTATCCCTTTACTTTCATGATAAAATGAGTAAGTGTGTGTTTGGCATAAATAATTGATTTAATTTTAATTGGTGTAATAAGCTTTTAATAACTAAAAAAGATTTTAAAGGAAAAAATTATATACTATTTTATAAAGCTTGTCGTTTTATTTATATATGTTTGGTATATCAAATGATTTTGACTAATTAATACTAAAAATTGTGAATTTCTTCACAGAAGCTACTTAGTGTGGTTCCTCAAAAAAAATCTTAAATTGTTAAAACAACTTTTATGATTATTGTGTTTAAACAGATACTTAAGAACTTTGAGACCTTTGAAACCGTGCAAAAGTTATAAACCCCGACTTATCTTTATCAAAGATACATCAAATATATAAACAACCAAAAAGTTTTATTGAATAAACTTTTTGACTATTAACAGTTTTATTAATATAACCAAAATAAAGATGGTTTACAAAAATATGATTAATTACTAGAGTAGTAATGAAAGCATAGTAATTCATGTTTAAGTTTCGAACTTAAGTTACTACAACACTACGTTGTAGTAATGAATAGTCATATTTATGTAAATGAGTTTTATTTTAGTAATATTGTTGTAAAAAACCCTAACTTTTATTGACCAATTAGATTTTCCTTCCAAGATATATAATTGATTGAGAAACTATAATATATTTACACCATTGATATTTTAACAAAAAAATAATGAAATAGAACACTTTCGCCTGGAAAATATTTTTTACTTTATTGACAAAAAACTCAAATTTAATGTTTTTTATAAAATATTTTATTACCCGAAAGTGAAATAACTTGTATAATTCTTATTTTAAAAAAAAAATAAATAAACTGTTTTGGGATGATCAAATGAAGGAAGTTTTCAAAATTATGTAGGCTGAAGTGAGAATTTTCTCAACTACGTTCAAGGTATAACTCTTGTTGACCGGTTTCGTATCACCACCCTCTAGCACCACAAAATCTGAGTGAAT